TTCCATTCCTTGTCTTGTATGTAATGATCATGAATGGATGGTGGCAGCATTTCGTCTTCTACTATCTACTCTTCTACTTATACTATCTACTCTTCTACTTCTACCTATCTACACCTCTCCCTCCACCCTTCTCTAAACTCTCACTTTCAACTAATGACCCTCCTTGCCCCTCCCACCTCTCTGCCTCTCACCCCAAACCCTCACTAATTACTTCACTATTCATTTCTTTCCTTTCGTTTTCTCTTATACGTTTGTGGCAATGATTCTGTATTCTAGAGTTCTCTCTAGAGTTTCGGGTAGCGGATCAAGGGACGGCGCCTTGTAGTCTTAGCACCTAGGTAGTCAAATACCTAGGTTACAAGGTGTTGAACGAGAGAGGTTGCCTTAGGAACTCTGGAGGTGCTCTAGAATAGTTAGCTAACTGAGGACGGGATAACGGACTAGAGAGAGCTGTTTCCCCCGGCCTCGTTAGTTAACTGGGGGGTGGAATAATGGACTAGATAGAGTTATTCCCCCCACCCCCCGTTACATCGCCACTCACTAAGTCCAGCCTCGCCACTCACTAAGTCCAGCCTCGCCACTCACTAAGTCCAGCCTCGCCACTCACTAACTTGTCCAGCCTCGCCACTCACCAACTTCTCCAGCCTCGCCACCCGCCAACTTGTCCAGCCTCGCCACTCACCAACTTGTCCAGCCTCGCCACTCCCTAACTTGTCCAGCCTCGCCACCCACCAACTTGTCCAGCCTCGCCACCCGCCAACTTGTCCAGCCTCGCCACTCCCTAACTTGTCCAGCCTCGCCACTCACCAACTTGTCCAGCCTCGCCACCCACCAACTTGTCCAGCCTCGCCACTCACCAACTTGTCCAGCCTCGCCACTCCCTAACTTGTCCAGCCTCGCCACTCCCTAACTTGTCCAGCCTCGCCACCCGCCAACTTGTCCAGCCTCGCCACTCCCTAACTTGTCCAGCCTCGCCACTCACCAACTTGTCCAGCCTCGCCACCCACCAACTTGTCCAGCCTCGCCACCCACCAACTTGTCCAGCCTCGCCACTCCCTAACTTGTCCAGCCTCGCCACCCACCAACTTGTCCAGCCTCGCCACCCACCAACTTGTCCAGCCTCGCCACTCACCAACTTGTCCAGCCTCGCCACCCACCAACTTGTCCAGCCTCGCCACTCCCTAACTTGTCCAGCCTCGCCACTCACCAACTTGTCCAGCCTCGCCACTCCCTAACTTGTCCAGCCTCGCCACTCACCAACTTGTCCAGCCTCGCCACTCACCAACTTGTCCAGCCTCGCCACTCCCTAACTTGTCCAGCCTCGCCACTCCCTAACTTGTCCAGCCTCGCCACTCACCAACTTGTCCAGCCTCGCCACCCACCAACTTGTCCAGCCTCGCCACCCACCAACTTGTCCAGCCTCGCCACTCACTAACTTGTCCAGCCTCGCCACCCACCAACTTGTCCAGCCTCGCCACTCCCTAACTTGTCCAGCCTCGCCACCCACCAACTTGTCCAGCCTCGCCACCCACCAACTTGTCCAGCCTCGCCACTCACCAACTTGTCCAGCCTCGCCACCCACCAACTTGTCCAGCCTCGCCACTCCCTAACTTGTCCAGCCTCGCCACTCACCAACTTGTCCAGCCTCGCCACTCACCAACTTGTCCAGCCTCGCCACTCCCTAACTTGTCCAGCCTCGCCACTCCCTAACTTGTCCAGCCTCGCCACCCACCAACTTGTCCAGCCTCGCCACCCACCAACTTGTCCAGCCTCGCCACCCACCAACTTGTCCAGCCTCGCCACCCACCAACAAGTCAAGCCTCGCCACTCCCTAACGTGTTTCATTACCCTTTAACACCGGAAAGTTTACCCACAACACCCTCCCCATTTCTACATGGTAAGTCGTTCTAGAATTAATTATTCCCTCTGCAACAGAAATAGGAAACTGCAGCTATGAATGTATCAGGATAAAGGTACGCGAGAAGAGACTCTTTTGTTTTGTTTTTGTTTAATGGATTTGGGTACGTTGATGATATATTTGTGTGTGTGTGTGTGTACTCACCTAGTTGTACTCACCTAGTTGTGTTTGCGGGGGTTGAGCTCTGGCTCTTTGGTCCCGCCTCTCAACCGTCAATCAACAGGTGTACAGATTCATGAGCCTATCGGGCTCTGTCATATCTACACTTGAAACTGTGTATGGAGTCAGCCTCCACCACATCACTTTCTAATGCATTCCATTTGTCAACCACTCTGACACTAAAAAAGTTCTTTCTAATATCTCTGTGGCTCATTTGGGCACTCAGTTTCCACCTGTGTCCCCTTGTGCGTGTTCCCCTTGTGTTAAATAGACTGTCTTTATCTACCCTATCAATCCCCTTCAGAATCTTGAATGTGGTGATCATGTCCCCCCTAACTCTTCTGTCTTCCAGCGAAGTGAGGTTTAATTCCCGTAGTCTCTCCTCGTAGCTCATACCTCTCAGCTCGGATACTAGTCTGGTGGCAAACCTTTGAACCTTTTCCAGTTTAGTCTTATCCTTGACTAGATATGGACTCCATGCTGGGGCTGCATACTCCAGGATTGGCCTGACATATGTGGTATACAAAGTTCTGAATGATTCTTTACACAAGTTTCTGAATGCCGTTCGTATGTTGGCCAGCCTGGCATATGCCGCTGATGTTATCCGCTTGATATGTGCTGCAGGAGACAGGTCTGGCGTGATATCAACCCCCAAGTCTTTTTCCTTCTCTGACTCCTGAAGAATTTCCTCTCCCAGATGATACCTTGTATCTGGCCTCCTGCTCCCTACACCTATCTTCATTACATTACATTTGGTTGGGTTAAACTCTAACAACCATTTGACCATTTGTTTTGTGTGTGTGTGTGTGTGTGTGTGTGTGTGTGTGTGTGTGTGTGTGTGTGTGTGTGTGTGTGTGTGTGTGTGTGTGTGTGTGTGTGTGTGTGTAAATCACGAAAATTAAGACGTGATGAAAAATGTGACAGTGTCAGACCACGGAGGAAGAATTGAAACAGGAATTTCCTTAAGTACTTTCGTATATTAATATATCTTCAGAAGGAATTATATATATATATATATATATATATATATATATATATATATATATATATATATATATATATATATATATATATATATATATATATATATATCCCCAGGAAGCAGCCTGTACAACTGTCTCACTTCCAGGTACCTATTCACAGAGCTCTGGGGGCCGTGGTCCTAAGAATCCGGGTTCGATTCCCGGACGAGGCAGGAAAAAAAAATGAGCAGTTTCTTTCACCTGATGCCTCTATTCACCTAGCAGTAAATAGGTACCTGGGGAGTTAAACATCTGCTACGGGCTGCATCCTGGGGATGTGTGTGAGAGAAATATGTTGTAAATATGATAGAAGAAATATAGGTCGGGAGACGGAACATAAGATAACCGACGGTTAGAAAGGCCAAGAGTCCAAGAGCTAACAGCTTAATTCTGTAACCAGAAATAGTAAATACAAATACAAAATACACACACACACACACACACAGGTTCAGGAACCTGTACACCTGTTGATTGACGATTGAGAGGCGGGACCAAAGAGCCAGACCTCAACCCCCGCAAGCACAACTAGGTGAGTACACACACACACACACACACACACACACACACACACACACACACACACACACACACACACACACACACACACACACCAGTGAGCGCCATAAACAAAATGCCACTCTAGGGATCGATGGCCTCGTTAGTCGGCTAGGGTAAGAGAGTGGGGAGGGACGATGTGTAGCAGGGAGGAAGGGACGGGGGATGGAAGGGAGGAAGGGACGAGGTATGGCTGCATAGTATGCGAGACAGGGAGTGAGCGGTTGCGTGTAGTTCACTCTCCATTCTTTCTCTTCCCACAGCCTTTATAACAACTACACTTTCATAGATAAAGACACTGTGGTGACTGTACTACCATTGGTATTTCATGCCCCATTTTCTCAGTTCTCTGGCTGCTTTGTTGTCTCCTCAATATGTTGCCCAGTAAGTTCCTCTCTGGGACTTGTGTCAGCTTCGCTCTCTGTGTTCCCCTCACAACTTCTCGGGTACATTGATTCCCAGTCAGTTAGGCCATGTATGAAGTCCCCCATTATTAGCAGCTTTGCTATATATTTAAGGGATTTTTCTGTCCCGCATTTCATCTATATTTTTCTTCTGTGTTTTTGTATTTTTTGTGGGTTTTCTGAGATTCACTGCAAATAGAATTTATTGAATTTATGAATCAAATTGAATTTATTGCAAATTAATGACACAATCACTTTTCCTCTTTTCTCTGAATTGCTTTCTTCAACATGGTCCGCATAACTGGCATCCATCAGAATACCGATTTCTTCAAAACTCCTTTTTTGACAAGCAGTGCCAGCCTCAAGCCTCTCTGTTTTATGTATCTTCTCGTCTTCCCATATTGATTGGGGGAAAATTGCTTCGGTGATATTTTCAGTGATTTTAGTTTCTACTATTGCTATTACAACTGGGTTTGTGTCATCAGTCCTTTCTTTCACTTCATCCGCTTTAATATTCCATCAGCATTAGTGTATCAGATTAGGCTCTTCGTCGTTACCCTTATCTCTACAGCGCTCGCAGCCTGGGGGCGGATAATTGGGTTGGTTCCGGCGTAGGTAAGAAAATAGAGGGAGCTAGTGGATGGAGGAGAGAGCGCCGGAAAAAGAGGAAAATGAAGTAGTGATGATTGGTGGCGTAAGTGGTAATGGGAATAGAGAGGGTGGTGGACATATGTTGGTGAGAGGGAGAGAGGGTTAAGAAGGAGAGTGGGGGAGGTAGATGGTACATGATTGTTCGGATGGTGTTAGGTTTGGCTGAAGGTAGGATATAAAGATGTTGAAGCCCTAGTTAATTACCCTCCGTCAAGACTGTTTTTATTATAACTTTGTTGTTTGTTGTTGTCTTGTTGTCTTGTTGTCTTTGTTGTCTTGTTGTTTACATACGCGGTGCGATTTTTGGTTTACTTTCTTGACGTTCAAGTTCTTGGTCATATATGGCCTTGAAGCTGTGGATGGAGGTGGCTTCCACGACTTCTTGCATTATACTCCACTTAAAGGCCATCCGTGCAGGGTACGAATATTTTCTTACGTGACTTCCACTTCCGTCTCCCTGCCCCCATCCACACCTGCGTCACCTGTCTAGTCCTCCCTCCCCGCCCGTCTCTCTGCCCCCATCCACTCCTGCGTCATCTGTCCGCTCATTGTGGTCGATATAAACTGCATCGATCCGTAGTCCACATGGGAGAGAATAGTGGAAGGAGAGGCAAGTAAGAATGGAAGAATGGACATTAAGGTTAACAAACACTAAATAATATTATATATATATATATATATATATATATATATATATATATATATATATACTCTATATGCATATTTACAGGTAAAATCGTAAAATTTGCCCTACTACGAACCTCTTTTGACGCGACTTAAACAAAAGTAATTCCAGCCTCTCGGCACCACCGTTGCGTGTGGCGGCCACACCTTAAACGTCCTCACCCACACGCACCTCGTCTCCGGCTTTCAGTTACTTGGATATAAAACAAAGCCGAGAAATGTTAGGACCCATAATTCCGGTGTATTGTTCCACGGGGACACGATTATACCCCCAGATACCCTGCCACACTCTAATTTCTCACCCAGCTACGTATACAGGTCCAACTTTTGTTAACCAAATAGCACGGGGTGGGACCGGGGTGGATATACAGTTAATAGGCGCAAACAGATGTATTGTGCTGTTAGTTTTTCGACTTGGGTGATGACAGGTGAGGTGAGAGGTATATATATATATATAGTGCTGTGAGGTGTGAGGGGGTTGGTTGTGCTGTGAGGTATGGTAGTGTGAGGTGTAGTACTATGTACCACTATCGACACTACGACTAACACCATCATCACTATTACCACCATCGACTGCATCATATATATAACGGTCAAATTACCGTTGTAATTATGGGTTAAATGACAGAAAATTAAATAATAACTATTTGCAAATCATTTATTCAGCGCCGCTAATGATGGTTCCCAACAATTCTCGCCTGCAACCCACCAAGGAAAGACGTGTTTATAAAGCTTGCTTTATATAAAGTTTGCGTTGCACAAAGCTTGCTATACACGTGAAGTTTGGATTAATTAAAAATTTGCTTTATATTATTATGAATGTTACATTAGGCTTCCTTTATATAAAGTGTGCTTCACATAAAGCGTGTTTTACATAAAGTTTGCTTTACATAAAGTTTGCTTTACATAAATTTTGATTAATATAATTTTTTTATTTAAAATTTTAATTAAATTTTTTGTTACAGAGAGCTTGTTTATATAAATATAGCTTTCATCACAGAAAGCTGTTTATAAAGTTTGTGTTTGATTAAGCTTGCATTATATAACATTTGTTTTAGATAAAGCTTGCTTTATATAAAGCTTTATTACATAAAGCAAACCTTCACTCCAGATGGTCTACTAATCTCTTTCTTTCGGTCTTAATCTGTCTGCTTTTGTATATATTAAGAGGACATTGGCATTCTTTCAACTTTCTGGCAGTTCACCTGCTTTCAGTGGTTCGTACCATGATAAGGGGTCAGCACAAAGCTTCCACTTGCATTACATAAAGCTGGCTTTACATAATGCTTGTATTCAATAGATAAGATGACTGTACATAATGCTTGCATTCAATGAAGCTTGCTTTACATAATGCATTCAATAAATCTGGATTTGCATAATCCCTGAATTTAATTAATATAGTTGGTTTATCATAATGCTTGCGTTCAATAAAGTTGGTTTTGCATAATGCTTGCATTCAATAAAGATGGATTTATATATAGATTGTAGGATAAAGCTTGCATTGTATACTGCTTCCTTAGCATAAAGATTCCCTCACTAATTCTGAATTCTTAACAGTTGAGTTACATAAAGCGAAAATGTTTTCATTACATGAAACTTGCATTATATAAAGTTAGTGGTACACGGAACTAATATTACATAGAGCTTGCATTTCTAAGACTTGCGTTACATAAAAGATTGCGTTAGATAATATTTTACATAATACTTTCACTACAAAATTTGTAATGCATATACTCTTGCATTACATAACGTAATGATTGGTACATAAATCTTGAGTTACAAAAGCTTGCGTTATGCAAAACTTGCGTTATTTAAAGCTTGTTGCATATTACGAATCATTACACGTGTTATCACAATGTTATCATCACTATAATGTTATCATCATGTAATATTATCACATATAGCTTGGTTAAATAATGATATCCTTATAGACAGCTTCTCTTTCGCGAAAGTCGCGATAAAGATTTTTAGCGACATGTTAAGCTCTTGTTACTGAAGGCTTGAACTACGGGATAATTAACATTATTATTCATTATGCATAAAACTTCAGTTTTACGATCTCTATGCACTGAATGCAGTTGATTCACTTGAAGCTGTGAGCTACGAGACCAATATTTCTACTACGAGGACCCTAGCTCGGTCGCACACGCATTTTGCATTACACGAACCTTAACTGCGTCAAGACAGGATGTTTAGAATTACACGAACTATAGTTGTCTAACACATGTATTTTGGCGCTATATTCTTCTAGTCTGCGTATCATGCATCACGAAGCAAGGGTAATGATCATTCACCTGGTCAATACTCACGGTGCTTGCGCATGTCAGCGACTCGGGGCAGAGAGAGAGAAGGGGTGGACTGAGAGAGTGAAGCCGAGGACACGAAGAGCGTGCCCACTTCGATGCTTACTCTTCAGCCTCTCCTGCAAGAGTCGTCGCTGCCGCGCCTGTAGAGAGCTCGGCCATCATACACGTGACACGTAAGGCTGCAACACACACACACAAACACACATATACACCGGGCGACCTCTATAGTTACCACTCAGCGTATATCTCTGTTATAGACAATCATTGAAACGAAAAGCTCACAATCATCTGTTTATCACATGAGAATTCGATCCAATATAATGGATAGTTCCGTATCGCTTCCAAAGTCAAGTTGCTGTCGCCGGTTTCAGACCGTTTCCAAAGCGGATTTGCTTTTGTCAGTGCCAGACAATCGTTCATTAGAGACGGATTTTATTGCAGTCGATGACTTATTACTTTTTCGATTTTCCAGCGGTTTTCCAGGTCTGGATAGGGAAGGAGAGTGAACTATTAACTTCACATGTTCACATAGGATTGGTTATTACGCGGTAATCGCATTCCGACCCCTGTAAGTGGTTGTTAGTGGGACTGTTGTGGGGCGGCGTGGCATCCAGAGATATGACAAGGGACGAAATATCTTTGTAATCTCTCTGAGCTTCTTGAGATCAACAGTGGCATCCCAACAATGTTGCCAGTACGTAATGGGAGTTGACCTATTAGACTCCTGAAGGGGGACCAAGAAGGCCGAGGCCTTGTTCCCCGCCTCAGCAGCCTGCTTCTTGCCAGACTAATTGGCAGATGTTTCGTACAACAGAAGTTTACTTGATATTTAGACTTTCATCTAAAAGCAATTACCCAAATAATTATAAATAGATGGAACGAATTTAGGTAACAGATTGAGTTGTAATTTCCCTGGCACCATACTAATGAAGTCAATTTCGCAGAATTGATACAATCAAATAGCATACATTATTAACTGAAATATACAACTTTTAAAACAAATTATCAATGGAAAAATCAATATATACAATTTAATTATTTTAAATCTATTGTAAAATAATTTCTTAATTGAGAACTGCATCAGCCTATCCACTTGGGCTGGACGGTGGAGCGGCGGTTTCCCTTCAAACAAGTCGGCGTTTAATCCTGAACTGTCCAAACGGTTGGGTACTAATCCTTTGCCCCCGTCCCATCCCAAATCCGTATCCTGATCCCTTCAAAGTCTTATATAGACGAAATGGCTTGGTGATTACTCCTAGACTCCTTGGTGCATCTCCCTAAAGCCATTGTTACGGGTTTCGACTTGGTTCAATAGTTTCAAGACTTTGGCCATATCTTCCCTGTTGATACCATTCATTCACCTCAATCCCTCGAGCATGTGATCAACACGCACTTGGTCTCTCAATGGAATGCAAGTCGAGCCTCCTCAACGTATGCTCGTATGGAAGGTCCAAAATACCGGGGAATCAATCAGTCTGATCACCCTGTGCTGGATTTCCTCCAACAAGCAAAAACATTGTTTTAAGTCAATTCTGTCCACTTTTTCTTTCAAAAAACAACACGTTGCCTTAAAGACCAATAGCATGAAAGGCGGAGAGCCCGTGAGTTAACACTCAATTCTGCAAGACCATTGAGACGCGTACATGCACACCAACTCGTGAACTAACTTCCTAAATCGCGTGGAACAAAAATACTCTCTGCCCCCAAATCTTCTCGCAGAACTAGAACTTTGGCGAAGTTGGGGGGATGGTGGGGGAGAGCAAGCTGTTGTTTGCTACCAGCGGCGGTTCTCCTCACTGAGGACACATCGATCTCTGTCTCTGCTGGACACCAGTATTGAGTCCACTCTGACGGTGATCGGACATAAGTAACGGAAGGTTGTGAAGCCTACATAAATACATCCATTACTTTCCCACACTCATGTTGTGTGTGTGTGTGTGTTTGTGTGTGTGTGTGTGTGTGTGTGTGTGTGTGTGTGTGTGTGTGTGTGTGTGTGTGTGTGTGTGTGTGTGTGTGTGTGTGTGTACACGCATTTCATCGACCCCTTGAGCAAGCTGGGATTGCGCCGTGATAATTTCGGTCCTGTCTTCATCAGTGTGAGAGGGTGGTGCCTACATGTTTTTTAATCTGAAAGCACATTATATCCCACAGCTGGTAGAGTGGTACAGTACAGGGCTTCACTACGGTCAGCCAGGCTTGAGGCGTTCAGTGGTCATGGAGTGGATATTGTTAAATGTTGTTTGTGGATCATGCAAGCCTCTACACATAGTGAAGTATAATATTAACAAACACTGCAATAATAATGATAACAAATGAACAATATATAAGTTCATTTGTTCATATAAATTCAACAGCCCGTTCTCTCGAGTTGCAAGCTGTGAGATGTAATTCTACGCAAACAATTTTCAAAAACTGAAAA